AAAAATCCTTTTAAAGAACAAAGGGAAGAATTACAGGCCTAAGACCTGCAGACCGGGGCCATCCCACCTGAGCTCTGGGGTGAGTGCGCTACCTCTCTGTGTTTTCGAAACCACCCTTGGGTGAGAGCGTCTCCTCCCGCCCAGGTCCCACTGTGGAAGCTTGCTATCGCAGAGGACATACTTTGACAGGTTACAAATTGTTTTCAGCAGCTGACCTAGACATAACATCACCACTTCCTGATTATATTGATATATGTTTCTATTATTTGCTTATTTGCGCCTCCAGAAACAATTCGTTTTTGTTGTTTTACCGTAAACAACATTGCAAGGTCTCGGTATTAAATCATAATTATTTACCCTTACAGTTCATGCACCTTTGTCCCTTGGGAATCTGGTGACGTGCATTTACAGGAACATCAGGGTATTTCTCACCAACAGTTTCCTGTTATTGATGCTTTTGTTTGCTTGTGATTTTTTTTTTTCTTCACTCATTCGGTTTCTCAAGGGAAAAAACAAACGGGCACGTGACAGTGATCACCGTCATAAGATCTCTTCTGGGGACCCCACAGATGTGTTTTTGTGAAGGGCTGAGCCCTCTGACAAGGCCAGATGCTGTGGGATTGTGTGGACAGACAATTGGTTATCATTCATTTGCTCTCTCCGTTTTCCCACGGGCTTCAGATGGCTATCTTAGCGAACGTGCTTCTGTGACAGAAACTCCTCAGGCCTGAAAGACTGTCCTGAGATAAAATCTGAATGGAAACAAGAGACTCATTGGTGAGATGCAATTGATTCTTAAGATCTCTGAAACACTGGTATCCAACGTTTACATTTTCACCGGGCAAACAATTGATTAGGTCGCTCATGGGCCTATGAGTTCTTCTCAGCTGAAGTAGAAAACTGAATTTCCAAAACTCGGACACACAGGAAATACTGAGTCTTTTTGTATCATTACTCTAATATATGTCCATCACAGTTTTCAAGGTTTGCTTTCAACCAAGCAGTGAGAATCCTTATCCTCAAAAACATTCAGGAAATCATCACAGCTTTTTAAGAAAAAAAAAAAAAAAACCTCTGTTTACCAATATGTTATTTCATGTGATCCAATGACAGTCCAGAATTCTGCTGTCTGAGATGTCAGCCATCCGATAACTATGATTATTTAAATTTACATTGATTAAAACTAAAATGACAGTGAAGTTCCTTTTTTCTTTCTTCTTTCCTTCCTTCCCTCCCTCCCTCCCCCTTTCTTTCTTCCAGCTGGCCACATTTCAATTGTCAGCTGCCACGCAAAGATAGAACTATCATCAGGGACAGTTCCAAATATGAACGGTACCATCCCAACACTGCACAGAGCTCCGCTGGCTGTGACTCTCTGGGATGCAGCTTCAGCGGGCACTGAACCTTCAGGGCGATGATTTATTAGTGGAAGCTGCCGCTCGATGTTCACGTTTGCAAGCCCGTCATTTCTACAGCCAGAGGAACCCTCTTAGACCTGATCTGTCCTCTTTTCATTCCTCCCCTCCACTTTTATTCCAAATCCCGAGCGTAAGGGATCCTGCCAGAACTGTGTCCAAAGGGACAGGCTGACAGTGTCCCTATCGGTCACTCATCCTCCTCCCTTCCTTCAAAATATCAAACAGCTGCAAGTTGAGTTGGACATCAGCATATAGGTAATAAGAGAGTCAGTTGTTCAAAAATTCCGTTTATTGGACCAGTAAGCTGGCTAGGCAGGTAAGGGTACTGGCTACACATGACTGATTAAACCTAAGTTGGATCACCAGAACCCATGGCAAAGGAGAACTTTATAAAGAGAACTTTATAAAATGTAAACATTAAGAGATAAACAGTAGCAGTGTAACAAGAATGGAGGGAATGTGCTTAGCCAAAGTGTATTTTTAATTTATGGACATATGGTCCTGGTTTTAACCTAAGGTTCACTAGAAGATTATTTTTCAAGCAAAGAAAAGATACCTTCCTTCTACCCACTCTGTACCGAGGATGCCTTAGGTCTGACTGTCAGGAGAGGCTTTGTCCATTGAGAAGGATTTTCGAATCTTTGGATCAGTTCTCTTGCCAAGTTTTTACCACCACCTGAAGAAGCAGTTCACGCAGTAAAATTGCAAACCAGGCTTCCAGCAAAACCACCCTGCTCCCTTCTAGGCTTAGATTTGGGCTTGGGGTGATGGTTGGGCCCAGCTGTGTTCACAGAGCTACTCAACAGGACATGGATCACCATGTGTGATCCAGTGATTACAGAGCCACTCAACAGGACATGGATCACCATGTGTGATCCAGTGATCACAGAGCCACTCAACAGGACATGGATCACCATGTGTGATCCAGTGATCACAGAGCCACTCAACGGGATGTTGGATCACCATGTGTGATCCAGTGATCACAGAGCCACTCAACAGGACACTGATCACCATGTGTGATCCAGTGATCACAGGGCCACTCAACGGGACATTGCTCTGCAGTTTCTCTCTTCCTTTATCAA